AAACTTTCTCATGCATTTATAGTTCATCGTCGGGAAGTTTATTCGAAAATTTGACGAAAATAAATAACAATATATAGGGTATGTGTATTCAGATAATAGTTGTTTGGTAGTTTGAAATTATTCCTAATCAATTATATTTCATTTACATTTAACTTTCTTCACCTGGTATTATATTTAAATGTTTTTAAAGTGAAGCGAGAGAGAGAGAGAGAGAGAGACAGAGAAAGAGTGAAAAACAAAGTTTGAAAAATTTATGACGATAATCACGCATAGATCTGTGTGTGTGTGTGTGTACGTTCATTAGCAGTAACAACTCGTTAACGATGTACTCTAATCGATAAGATTGGCATCTCTTGGCACGTTTCATTTTCAGATTTAATTACTACTTGCGGATACCGAACAACTGTTTCGATCACTCGTCGTACTATTTCTCATCTTTCTTTTTTTTTACAAATACTTGGCAACAATTTGTGGTTTGTAATATATAATTAAATGGAATATTGACTTCAATCCAATAACACGTCGTTAAAATCGAAATCACAATTTTTTTTTCCGATGTAACGCAAAATTGCAAAACCGCAAATTCTGTCCGATGTAATAACACGGCTCGATAAATTTGGAAAATCATTTCCTTTTTTTATTTTTGTTTGCTCACAACGCGAGTCTCGATAAAACTCGGAAAGAAAAAAAAAATCAGATTTTCGAAGAAAAAAAAAAACAAAAAAGAAAAATAAAAGAAATCGTTTTTATTTTTAAAATTATTATCGAGGATACCATACGCGAATGCTTGAAATTTTGTAAAACCGATGAAGCGCGTACTAACGATTAGAACGTAAAAAACAAATATAACGAATAAAAAGTTAAAAGTTAAAAGTAAATAAAAAAAAAAGAAAAAATAATAAAGTATATCGCGAAACACAAGAGAGGCGAGAGAATTTTACTTATTAATATCGTCACGAGAGAGATGTTTCGATCAAAAGAGGTATCCGACACAAGTGTTGATTTTATTTTTTTAATTTTATTATTTTTTTTTTTTTTTTCCTTATTTCCAATTACCCACATTCTCATAAAAAGTCGTCGCATTTTCCATTAGAGCAGACACGTTTCATTTGCTCGAGTTATTCGATCAACACTCTCTCTCTCTCTCTCTCTCTCTCTCTCTCTCTCTCTCTCATACATACACACACACACACTTTCTCATTTTCACTTTCAACGATGCGCAACAATTTCGAATCGAAGTCGTATCTTATATAATGTGTGTGTGTGTGTGTGTGTGTGGTGGCTCCCACGAGATTTTAACACCGGGGAGATACGATTGCGGATAAAATGTTTTTCCTCTCAATCTTTCACTCTCTCTCTCTTTCACTCTCTCTTTCTCTCTCTCTCTTTACCTCTTTCACACTTCCTTTCCTATCTTCCTTTTTATATGGAAAAAAAAAATCACCATCCCATCATCATCATCATCATCCCGTCGATCGCGATTCGAATAAGAAAAAATTAAATGAAAAAGAATAAAATAAAATTCTATGATCGAGAGAGTGGAACGGGGTGGGGGGTGGGGGTGGGGGGGAGGAGGAAAAAAATAAATAACCGATATCGTAATTTCGTAAGACGAAAATGAAAAATATCGAACGACGAGAGGAAGGAACAATAAGAAAAAAAAGAAAGAAAAAGAGAGAGAGAGAGAGAGAAAAAGAGAGAGTGAGAGTGAGAGAAAGAAAAGTAAAGATATAAGGTAGAAAATATAACGTCGACTCGCATAAGTTTCCAATATAAAACGCAACGATATTATATCGCGAGAGTGGTGGTTGCTTATCACGAAAACCGAGATATATTCGTGTATTCGGTCGCGTTTAACCCCGCAAAACGGAATCCATTACGAAGCCCGAAAAGAGGTGGAAAAGGAGAGGGTGTACGGAACGGAACGGAACGGGAAGGGAAAGGGGGAAGGTGGGAGAAGCTGAGGGCAGGGGGTGATGGTCGTGGTGGTCGTGGTTATGGGGGTGAATAGGGGGTGTTCTGTGTTATTTCTTCTTGTGTTTGCTTGCGCGATTCAACGGAATTTCCATTTATATTACCTTATCGCTATTCTTCCTTCCTTGGCGCGTTTCTCTTATTTATTTTTATTTTTTTATTTCTTTTATTTCTTTTTTTTTTTTTTTTTCCTTACTTTTTTACGTCCTCCTTCCTCCTCCTCCTCCTCCTCCTTCTTGTTCTTCTTCTTCTTCCTTCTGTTTTATTTTTTTTCCTTTAGTGCCTCTTCATCTTATTCTCGGCCACTACTATCATCACCCACACCCATAAACCCACAACCCACGACCCAAAACCCTTTCTCTTCTTCTTCTTCTTCTTTTTCTCTCTTTTTTGTTTTTTTTTTTTATATTATTATTATTATTATTATATTTTTTTATTCAGCCCGTAATACCAAAGTGAAGACGCATTTGCTCGACCAACCAGCTTCGTCGCTAGCCTCGTATTCTATTCTGTGTCCTCCAACGTCAAACGGACGTCCTGGACTCTGTAAAAATTAACGAGATAATGTATTATTTTGGTTCTTTTTCTTACTTAGTTACTTACTTACTTACTTACTTACACGAGAACACAATTAACAAGTGGAATTAGTTATGCATCGGACACAGGGAGTGGGAGGGATTTACCATCTCAAAGTGATCACACGATTTAAACATTCATTGGATGTAATTGAAATGGATTTGGATTTCAATTTTTGGAAAATTTTATTTTGTATGTAAGCGATAATAAAGATAATATCTAGATCTTTAATAATATCAATTATTTGTTCGTTGAAGAATAGAAAATTTATTTCTTTTTTTTTTTGTTTTTTTATTTATTTCTAAATGACAATCTTCTGAATAAATTAACTCGATTTAAGATCATTAAGAGTTGGTAACTATCTGCATAAACTCTTCCCAATTGTACTCGACGTTGATATCATTATTATTATTATTATTATTATTATTATTATTATTATTATTATCTACGTAGTTAAATTTTCTCGGATAAACACGAAATGTCTGACCCTTTAAACGCATTACTGAAACGAATTCAACACAAAGATCTTTCTCTTGAAACGTTACAAATAATTTATCAAATAATATAATAATTATAATTATTATTATTATAATGTTTTTCTCATAAAATTCATCCGAAAAAAAAAAAGAAAAGAAAAAAGAATTCTTCGCGATAATAAGAAAATAAATTGAAAAATTAATATAATTCAATTTTATTATTTTAATGATTCATTCCTTATATTAGAATAATAATTATCATTAATAATAGTAACGATTGAATGTAAGAGAAGGAGGAGGAGAAGGAGGAGGGGAGCAGGAGGGGTAAATTAATCGAAATTTTCGAAGAACGGATATGCATTTAGGGTTACGTGCCAAATATCGAAGAATCCAATCGATATATCGAACTCAAATCTACCTCTTCCTCCTGCTCCTCCTCCTCCTCCTCCTCCTCCTCCTCCTCCTCTCACATACGAGTTTGGTTAACGAGACTAATTCAGAAAATAGTTAGTAGTAAGGTTAGTATATATATGTATATGTATATATCGATGCTTCTCGAAGAGTTCTCGTTTCACGTTCCTCGTTACATGGGTCGTTGTTCCCATCTTCCGTTACTCAAAGAACACTGTTGCGAATCGTTGCAGTTCATACGAATTTATTTTCTCAAAAGTTTACGTAGTTTACATCGTCTATAAAGTTATTTTCCCAGTTAACTATATACATACTTCTTTCTTTTGAAAAATATTTTTAAAGGAGAAAGAAAATAATATTTTATTTTACCCCCCCCCCACACGTCTTTATTTTTTTTCATTAGAAAATTTGTTTTATTTCATCCGGTTTCGTTTGACTCGCAATTTCAATCCTTTTTCTTTTTTTATTTCTTTTTGTTCGTTTAATTCAATTTTTGTAAATCGTCCTTTCGAAAAGTCTCGATTATTATTTACAATTATTCGTGAATTTTTATTTGTTATTTCTTTTTTTTTTTCTTTTTATTATAAAGTTACGTTTATATATAGTTAGATAAAAATCGCGATTTAATTTCACCGTTTCTCGACATTTGTATTAAAATTGAATACTATACCTTTTTTTTGTTTTGTTGTTTATCGCGTTCCTTTCGACATTGATAATTTTCTCGACAAATCGACGACTATCACGAGTGCACATTTGCGAGTGCATATTTATATTCCTTTTAATTAAATTTTCATCTTGTTTTGTTTTTTTTTTTCTTATCAATTAATATTTTTTATTCCATCAAAATTACAATTTTAATTCAGCAATATTATCTCACTGTGTGTCTCTCTCTCTCTCTCTCTCTTTTTCTCTTGGTTATTACATAAAAGTTAAATATCTTTTTTTTTTTATTGCATTCCCTCCGACGTTGATAATTTCGAAAACACGATTATACCAAATGCACATTTTAATTGAAACACGTGTTCTTTTAATTGACTATATTTCTCGTCAAATAAATTTGAGATCTTCTTAAAAATGACGATTTAGTTTTTCAACGATTTGAAATATTTCCCCCTGTGTCACACATAATATAACCTTTCATTTAATTTTAATATTTGTTTCTTTATTTTCTTTATGAACAGAATTCCCTTTTTTTTTTTACATTCGACGCAAATAATATCAGGAAACTCGATTATTACGAGTGTGTTATGCATATGTAAAAAAAGAAATTAGAAAAAGTTTCATTTATTAACAAGTAGAACTCGTTGTAGTCAAACTAATGCTAAATCACCGATATATTATTTTCAAGATATAAAATAAAAAATAAATAAAATAAAATAAAATAAAATAATAAATATATCCTTTTCCATTTGATAAGGATTGTGAAAATATTCCAACGAAATTATGCGGGCAAAACGTTTTAATTCCTCGTCCAAATTCAAATACACGACTTTACTTTCCAAATAAAAAAGAAAAAAAAAAAAATTTATAAAAAAGAAGATAAAAAAAAAGAAACTTTCCTACCATTTGTAACTATGAAAGCAGCAAACGAGCTTTCGGTGGAAACGTGATATTATCTTCTCGTTTGCTCGATCTGTTAAAGCACTCTCTCTACCTCACGTTAATCCGAAATTTTACTCGACAAAAACGAGAATATAATGTTGATATATAGTTACATACACATACACATACATATATATACCTATCAACTTATCTCCGATTGCAAAAAATACGAAAATTCTTTTCGAAAAGGGCCTTGAGAATTTATGGATTATCATCTAACGCAAATTAACACAACACCGAATTGTAATCTTTATTTATTATAGTTTGAAACACTAATGAGAAAGTACACATTAGCGATTTACTTTGTATTCGTGAAATCTGGGCACGATTTTGTTCCATGTGTTAGTGTATCTGTTTATTAGACAACGAGGTGAGAGGGTGGGGAGGATAAGGGTAAAAGAGGATTAAAGGAAGGGTGGTATTATGCTTTGCTTCTCTCTATATCGTTTCCTTTGTGAAACAACATTATAACTGGCACGCGCGAACTAATACACACATGTAAATATATATATATATATATATATA